CCCCACGGACACCCCCCTCCACACACACACACACACACACTGCACCAAAGGAGCGCCAGGAATCCCAAGCAGCACTGTTGGGAGGGGAGGAGGAGAGCAGGGCGGGCCACCTCAGGGACACAGAATTCCACCCGGGAGCACGCCTGGGGTCACGTGGCACTAGAGAAGTGTACAGCGGGAGGCTGCAGCCCCAGCCCCCAGCCCCATACCCAGACCAGGAATGTTCTGTATGCTCTTCGGGGAGGAACAGAAGGACGCCACATCGTCCTGTAGGAATTCTAACTGTGTGCTTTGAACCTGCCTCCCAGTCGCCCCTCCCCCAGCCCTTGTGAGGGGACTCTTGTCAAGATCTCCCGGGGAACCATAGGAGCAAACAGCCAGGACTTTGTGTGAAGGCAATGCTCTGACATTTCTGGGCAAGGCAAAAAAATGCAGCCGCCTCCCTTCCCAGCGCCTGGTGGCCCGGGGTGGGGGATGGGCTGGAGGTGTGCCAGTGGAATCGGGGGGCACCTGGGTGGTGGTACCTGAGTTAGCAAACGGCCCGGCTGTTCTTGTGCCTCAGTTTCCATGTCTGCAAACTGGGGTGGGAGCAGTCCCTGCCTTGCCGGAGGCTCTCAAGGGCCTGGCAGCGTCCAGGCAGTCAGGCTGCCGTCTGCAGCTGTTCCTGTCGCTCTTCTTGCAGAGAACACAGGGAGCTGTCCCAGACCAGCTGCTTCATGACGGAACCCAGGCGGCCCTCGGTTGCTTCAGATGGCTCCAACAAACCTCACCACACCCCTTTTTTGGACTTTGAGGCCACCTTCCACAACAGCCTTTCTTGTCTTTGGGAAGCTGAAGGCTGTTGGGCCAACCCTGGAGACACATAACTGGATTTCAATCCTATCTGGCGCTTTATTTACTGTGTGGCCATGAGCAAAGTTCTTAGCCTTTCTGTGCCTTAATTCCTACCTGCATGTTCCAGGGTCACGTGGTGATTCAAATGCGAGGGTTGCACATTAACTTGCCCAGCATGTAACGAGCCTTTGATAAACTAGGGGTGTACCCCTTCTTTAACACAGTCATTCTTAACTCTAACAATCCCCTGTAAAAGAGGTGCTGTGGTCCTCTGATGGACGAGGAAGCTGGGATTCAGAAGGGTGAAGCGGCTCTGCTAGGACACAGCCAGTGCCCGGAGCAGCCACCTGCGTACACAGAGGTGGGAAGCCTCTCTAAACCTGCTCTAAACATGGTCAGGCAGGGAGTTCATCTTCTCTGTATTTTCAGGATTCTTCACAAGAAACCTCTACCATCAGAGGCCAGCATCTATCCATGTTATGTCTTGGTGGAACACAGCACCCCGGTCTAGTGCTCATGGAGGAGGCTTAGGAACCCGCCCTGAATTAGAGCTTCCCTGGGGACCTTCACGGAGGGTCCATAGGGGGAGCACTCTACAGATCAGGAGGTGAAGTTTACTGCAGTTTAGGCCCCTCCAGGCTTCACCGGCCTGGGCTTTGTTCCTCCTCCCCTCAACTATACTGCTACCCATGTGGGCAAGGATGGAGACTTGTCCAAGAAGTGCAACAGATTTGAGAAAGACTGGGCCAATAGGGCTTACTGATGGATTATGTGTGGAGAGAGAGAGAAAAAGAGTGTGAGTTTACTTGGGAAGGAGCTGAAGGAGCTGGTGGTGGCCTATAGCTGGCCATGACACTGGTGATATCACAGGAAGGGGTGTCAGGGCCCAGGGTTGGAAGAAGAAAATCTTGGGAGGGCCTGAGATGACCAAGGAGAGCAGTGTGTGGAGAAAGGTAGGGAGGCAGTGCTGCTGTCATAGCTGGCGGGGGGTGCTTGCACAGACACTGAGTGTCCGAACTCCCTGGCCCTGTCATGTTCAGTACCAACCCCAGAGTGGGGGACAGAGGAGATTGGTGGGGACTGCAAGGTGAGCATAATATGACTTATACCCAAAGGACAGGGTGTGAGGGTGGAGGGAGGAACTGGGGGTTCATTTTGGGGATCATCGCAGTGGAACGGAATCTGGCCATTTATGTATGTGGCGGCAGCCGTGGGACTGCACAGGACACGAATCTGGATCCAGGCCCAGTGAGGGCTCTGTTCTCATCACTGTTTATCCAAGTGGGAATGAGAAGCCCCACGTGGAGCAGGCATCGGAGGCAGCTGTTGGGTGCCACTTGAGAGCCTGCAGCTGGCTCTGAGTTCCATCTCTGCCCCTGATTCCAGCTTCCCCTTAATGTACACCCTTGGAGGCAATAGGTGACGGCTCAAGTCCTTGACCTGGACGGAAGTCCCAGCTCCTGTCTTCACCCCAGCCCAGCTCTAGCTGCTGTGGGTAACTGGGAAGTGAACCTGAAGATGGAAGTCCTCAGTCTCTGTCTCTCAGCTTAAAAATTAACCAGCCTCAAGAATTCTCTAAGATGGAATCTGTGCGCTCCCATTCCTTGGTTGGCATTTGCTCTTCACTCCATAGGGCTTTTATGGGATACCCACTGTGTGCAGGGATGAGGAAGCTCTGGGGTGTCCCCATTACTTCTGGTCGGGCTTGTGTGCTGTCCCTGCCACAACCCCATCTCACAGGCTCCTCCAGAGTCGTCCAGGTTGATATTATTATTAAATCATCCTATCAGTGAGCACATGCTCTCTAAATACCATCCTCCAGTGTCAGACATGGTGGTACAGCCTGGTAAGCCACCACTTACAATTGTCACTTTCTGTATCAGAACAGTGGTTCAAGTCCTGGCTGCTACACTGCTCCCATTCCAGCTCCCTGCTAAGTGTCCTGTAGGCAGAGAGTGACGGCTCCATTACTTGAGTCCCTGCTACCTATAAAAGAGACCCAGATAGGAGTTCCAGGTTGCTGGCTTCAGCCTGGCCCAGCCTGGGATGTGAGGGTAACTGGGAAGTGTACTAGATGATAGAAAATACACCTCCCTCTCTCATTTTGCCCCCATCAAAGTAAGTAAATAATCTTAAAAATAAAATATCACTGGGACATGTAATGGCTCAATAGCTAAGTCTTTACGTTGCAAGTGTCAGGACCCCATGTGTGTGCTGGTTTGTGTCCCAGATGCTTTACTTCCCATCTAGCTCCTAGCTTGAGAAGGCAGTAGAGGATGGCTCAAAGCCTTGGTACCCTATATCCATGTGGGAGACCTGGAAGCAGCTCTTGGCTCCTGGCTTCAGATTGGCTCAGCTCTAGCTGTTGTGGCCATTTGGCAAGTGAACCAGTGTAACGAGAATCCATCTTTCTTTCCTTCTCTCTGTAAATCTGATCTGCCTTTCCAATAAAAACAAACCTTAAAACATAAAATACCATCCTTCAATACCCCTGTGGAAGCAGAAATCGCAAAGAGCAAAGTGGGAATAATTTGAGCAACTGAAAGTGGCATTAGATTATGTATGAAACTGTAAATTATGAGCCCATAAGAGTATAAATGACAGAACACATAAATTAAGGAGAATGGCTATGTCTTACGTTTATGTTTTATTTAATGAAGGGCAGCACAGAAAGAGATCTTCCTTCCACTGGTTCACTCCCCAGATGCCCATATCAAACACAGGAGCCTGGAATTTTATACATGTGCCCCATGTGGGCATCAGAGACCCAATCACTTGAACCATCATCTGCCACCTGCCAGGGTGTCCATTAGCCAATGGACCCAAACCAGGCACTTGGATAGGCATTGTAGGTGACCAAGGTGGTGTCTTCACTTCTGTGCCATCACACATTTTAGATTAACAAATATATGTGGAAACTCTGACACCTGATTCCTTCCACCCTGAGTGGGGGCTCGATTTACTATGCTTATTCTTTGGGTTAGGGCAAGTAAGAAAGATCAACCTCGTGACAAACCTGGAAATGCCACTGTAACCCAGGAAGAGAGGTTAACCTCACCAGCCATGTCACGGACACTGTTGAGCGTTGGCAGGATGGGGAGAGGAAGGCATTTCAAAGCCATGGGTGGGCGCTGCTGCATGGTGTGTGTGGAAGCTTCCCACCCACCCTCATCTGTCTTCAGACCTTGGACCCTAGAAGAGCCCCACTTCCTGCCCTGTACTTGACATTGGTTCTTCTAGACTCTCCTTGCTGCCCTGTGCTTTCTGTCAACCCAGCATCATGCCCCTCTGCGTTACATCACTCTGTGACAGCTCCTCCTTTCTGGAAGCTTCTGGTACCTGTGCTTCCTCAAGCACAGGCCCCCCAGCCTCTCTTGAGGTCTAGGAGTAAAAATGCTGAGTCATATTTCTTTTCTTTTTTTTTTTGAAAGACAGAAAGACCTTTGATCCATTGATTCACTTCTCTAATGGCCACAATGACCAGGGCCCAGGACTCCATGAGGGTGTCCCATGTGGGTGGTAGGCACCCAAGTACATGAGCCATCACCGGTTGCCTCCCAGGTTAAAGCTAGGATTTGGACCCAAGACTTTTGACTGCCAAATCTTGTATTTTCCGCTTGCTCCTCACCACTGACAATCACCTTTAACCTCATTTCGCAAATGACAGTGCCTAGCTTAAGAGCTTTTTGAAGGCTAGTGCACAGCGCAGCCAAGTGACAAGAACTTGGCCCCACATGCTGAGCTCTGGTGCTCACTCTGTAGACACAGAGCCCACATCGTGCTACCAAATGGACAAACAGAAAGAGAGAGAGAGAGACAGGAAGGAAGAAAAGAAGGGAGGAAGGAAGGAAAGAACAAAGAAAAGGAGGAAGGAAAGAAGATTGGTCTCTCTCACTGCTGGAGACGCTTACAGCATTTCCCAGTTCCATGGGGGATGGTACGGGGTGGGAGGACCGCCTCCCTTGGGACCTGCCCCAAGGCCAGGCTCCCACAATAAATGAGCTCCAGAATGCTTGTCTTGGGACACATTTATTCTGGACACAGCATAGTTCACTCTAGAGAGAGAAGGAGAAAATGAAACTTTAATTTTGCTCTTTGGCTTTTTCAAATTTTGCATCACATAAGAAAACCAGCGGAGAGCTGGGTGTCAGGGCCGCAGCAGCAGCTCAGGTGTAGCCCACCAGGCGGGGAATGCTGGGGAAGGTCTTACGCATGCCCATGCACCTATCCTTGTCGATGCAGAGGCTGTTGGCCTTGATGGCCAGCTCGTGCTCCAGCCGAGACTTGGTCATCAATAACAGCTGCAGTGTGTCCTGTGTCTCCCGCAGCCTCAGCTTGAGGGTCTGCAGGGTGTCATCGATGGTGAACACCTCATTCACGAGCCTAGGGTGAGGGTAGGGGAGAGGGGCACGGTTTATTCAGCCATCCCCCCCAGAAGCATACACCACACAGCAAGAACTCAGCTCAGGGCTGAGAGCTGGAGGTGAGGGGGCTCAGCTTGGGAGGAGAGGAGGGCAGTGGCACAGGCAGAGGACTGAAGGCACCGGGACTGGTGATGTGGTAAAGCAAGTTGAGCTGCTGCTTGTGATACAACCATCCCATATGGGTGACAGTCCAAGCTCCAGATGCTCCACTTCTGATCCAGCTGTTGCGAATGCAACTGGGAAAGCAGCGGAAGACGATCCAAGTACTTGGGCCCCTACTATCTAGGTGGCATAGAATTCCTGGCTGCTGGCTTCAGCCTGGCCCAGCTCCAGCTGTTGTAGCCATTTGGGGACTGAACAACTCTGCCTTTCAACTAAACAAGTAAAATCTTTAAAAATGGAATTAAATGTTCAGAATAGGCAAATCTATAGACAGAGAAAGCAGATCAGGATTACCAGGGGCTGGGGAGTGCTGAATGAATATGGAATTCCTTTTTGTAGGGTGATCACAAAAATGTTTTGAACTGACATCTTGACGATGATCACATACTGCCAATGTACTAAATGACTGATGGCACATTTTGTGCTAGATGTTTTTGATTACAATATTACAAACCAGGATAATAAGGTTGGCCTCGTTTAGACTCAAGGGCCAGGTGTGATGACTGCTCTTAGAGACCCATTGGTTTGGAGTATCCAACCTCTGCCATGTGTTGGTTGTGGAAGCCTCATGGGCCCACATTTCTCTTGGCCACCCAGAACATCCTTGTGCAGCTTACAGTCAATGGCTGAGGGGCATGAGGTGGCCAAGACCATCCCCTGTACAGCTGGGAGCAACAGCAAGGGGCAGTGTAATACTCTGGAGTCACCCATGGGGTCAAGCAGAGCAGGCCTGCCCTCTGCAGCTCCCTGCTCCCACTGCCATATGAGGCTCTGCTTCCATGTAACTCCACAGGCACCAGAAAAGAAGAGCTTTGAGCAGGAACTGGCCTTTTGACCACTAACAGGGACACCACTTCCTGTGGTGCAGAAGTGTCCTGTGCCTGATCTGTCCTATGTGGAACCTACTGGTCCCCTCACACCCCACCATCAGGTAGTGAATATGGAACACATGGATATTTGGTTAAGAGCCCAAATTTTGAATTGCATTAATTTAATGTGTTTAATTTTAAGTCACCTATATGTCAATGAAATAGCCTCCTGCAGCTAGTGGATACCAAACTGGATGACACATTTCTGAAAAGAAGAGGTTGAGGGAAACCAAGATTCCTGGATTTAGTTCTCAGTGCATTGGGAAGCTGCAGGGAGCTGGTGCTGAAACAGGGGGTGATGTGCTGATGTAAGTTTGGGGACAACCCTGGAAAGAAATCAGGATGGAATGGGTTGAACAGGGACCTCATAAGGTCATGCTCAAGGACTCCCCTTATTGTGCCTGGGAATGGGATATTGTTTGGAAATGGGATCCTTGAAAATGTAATGCAATTCAGGGTGATGAGATTATCCTGAATTTAGGATGAACCCCAACCCCAATAGCCCCTTTCCCTCTAAGAGAAAGAAAAGACTTTGAGACCCAGAGGTGGCAGGGATGTGTATACAAGACGAGGCACATCCAGGATGCCTGGCAGCTGCCACACAATACAAAACCCCATCCTCACAAAACCCCGTCACAGCCAACACAAGCTTTCCACCTCCTTTTCTATGAGGAAGGCTTTGTCAACAGGTTGTGCCTCCTTTAGTAGGTGGGGTGTGCAGGAACCTTCCAGTGAAGGAGGAAGGTCACAGTCATGGGTGGAAGGTGTGCCAACAGAGTTGGGGTGAAAGTGCAGGGAACACGAGAGGCCTCCCCTGTAGAGCCTGCAAGGAGGAGGTGACACCACCATGTCCCCATCTGGGAGGCAGTCATGCCTTGGCTCTCACAGGTTCCCAGAACACAGGCAGCCTCAAGGCCACAACCAACCGAGGTGGGTAAGAAGATGCCATCAGGATGGCATTGTGGACAGAAGATTAAGCCACTGCCTACCAATGCTGGTATCCCATTTGAGGGCCTGCTCAAATTCGGCTGTTCCACTTCCCATCCAGCTCCCAGTCAATACACCCGGGGAAACAGATAATTATAGTCCAAGGGTTTGGCCCTCTGCCCTCCCATGTGGAAGGCTTGATGAAGTTCTAGGAGCCTGACTGCTCAGGTCCAGGCCTAGCCATTGTGATCATTTTGGGATGGATGGACTAATTGATACAGGATTAGTTCTGTCTTTCAAATGAGTAAATAAATATTTTAAAAAGCAACAGCATCAAGGGGTGGGCTTCCCAGGAACACTACCCTGGTTTCAGAACTCCAGCACCTACCACGTGCTCTGCTGGGCTGTGGGATGAGATGTGCCAGGGACCAGAGGACCCATTGCTCAGATCCAGATATTCTCAGAGGAGGCTACCCCTCGAAGCCACCACTTACTTGAACTGTGGAATGTCTCTGCACAGCTCCACGTTGGGCCTCCGTGTGCGGCACTCCAGTCTGCTCTGGGCCACCTTCAGTGGGCACTCCTTGGCCATGATGGACCTCTCCAGCAGCATGATGGTGTTCTCTGCCTGGAAGATCTCCTGCAGCGTCTGTGGGGAGACACCAGGGCCATCACTGAGGGGGGCCGTGAAGCCAGTTTGGGCAGCCTCCACCCTCGAGCAACCAGGGATCAGGGATATGGCCTTTTCCAAGCTGCCTCTGGGATGGCGGCTTAAGGCATCTGTGGTCACCAGGACACTAAGGATGCTGGGGGATAGGTGAGTCCCAGGGGAGCTCAATTTTGACTCTCCAGTATGCACTGGATTGGCCAAGTAGCGTTCAGCAGACAAAGGAAAGACAAAGGAAATGTGCACCCTTAAGATGGATATGTGACCTAGACCAGACAGCCTATGTGCAGAGCCAATTTCGTGAGGATTAATCTGCATTGTTCCAGATCTGTTGACAGTCCTGAGCTTATCTTCTTTTAGGTAGGTCAGCAAACGAGGGAAAGGGAGAAGGAGAAAGAGGGAAATGGAGAAGGAGAGAGAGAGAAGCAGGGGAGAAATTAAAAATTACCTACTTATCTATAGAAACGTTTTCCCCAATACAATGCTGCTATTTTGCTCTAGAATTTAAGAAGAAAATTCTAGCCCTAGGAAGAGGCAGAAGAGAGACCGCATGGGCCTGGGAATGTTCCACATCTTGATCTGGGTGTAGGTTTCATTGGTGCAAACTCATCAAGCCATGCACTTGAGCCTAGACTGTGCTGATGCCCCTGCTAGGCTCGGTGTGATCCAGACAAGGTCGCCTGTGCTGTGTTCCCACCAAGTCTACAAATGACACCCAGTGCAGAGGATTGCCTTGTGGTAAAGATGGGCCAGTGTGACCTAGGAAGACCTCACACCTTTTGCTGCCCAGAGATTGGGCACCATTTCAGGAGTCCCCTCACCAGTGACCTCTTGGGCGGGGGGCACTGCTTCAGAAAACTTGCTCTTTTTGCTCGGTGTGTCTGCCAACAAGATGGACAGCTAACCACTCTTTCAACATTGAAAATCCATGCATAGTCCTTTTCATAATGCACATTTTCATGTGCTTTGTGAAGTTCCCTTATCAATCAGACACACTCTTGGTGAAACCCTGGTTGAAAAGACGCACTATCAAAACCATGGACACGGGGCGGAGGTGCTGGGAGAGTGAATGAGCAAAGACTGCTGATGTCAGAGAGACCAGTTAAATTACAGAAAGCCCAGGTAAGTCCTAATTTCAGAGAAACCACCAAGCACTCTGGTGTGTGTCAGGCCATGAATGCATTCTCCCCACATTCATTGATCCCCATGTTTTGGCATGTCAGGATGGGGTTTCTCAAAGGTAATTATTAAGACTCTCAATAAAACAAGCCAGAAGCAGGCACTCCATGGGGCCTAGCAGCTAAAACACCACCATCTCACACTGGAGTACCCAGGGGGTTCAACTCTCAGTTCTGGGTCCACACTGCAGACCTGAGCAGCAGAAGTGATGCAAGTAGCTGGGTCCTTACCATCCACATAGGAGACCTGACATGAGTTCCTGGTCCCCAGCTTTGGCCCATTCCTGGCCACAGCAGATGTTGAGGAGTGAACCAGAAGGTAAGAGATCTCTCTCTTTGTCTTTCTCTGTCTCTTGAATGAAAACAAATCTCAAAAATGTAGATTAATAAGAGACACCAAGAGAGTTGTCTCACACCCACCATGTGAGCGAAGAGAAAATGAGAAGTTGACAATGTGCAACCTAGGAGAGGAATTCTGCCCTCCTCCCACCCTACCCCCTAAGCCCAACCATGCAGGCGGCCTGGTGCAGGACTTGCCAGTTCCAGCCCTTCAAGACATCATTGTCACTGATTCAGGATGTCGTGTCTACAGCACTCACTGTCACTGTTACAGGATGCTGTGCCTACAGCACCTAATTAGAGCAGCTTGCCAAGACCAAGCCATGTCTCGGGGAACACAGGAGAAATACCAACCCTGACATCCCTAGTTAACTGATCTTTTACACCTCTTCCATTCTATTTGCTAAATCTAGCCACCCTCCTTACAGTAGTAACTCAATAAATGTTCCTTGAAATAATACACGAGTCACAGCAGGATCTGCATGTCTAGATTTTTAACCTGTCCCAGTGATTCTGTGTAATCGAAGCATGGGAGTAGTCTGCCCTAGATATTTACATAGTTCCACTGCTCTCCAATTTGTATGTAGAGGGAAACCAATCACATACCTGAACAGGTTAAGGACAGTAAAGATAACAGCTAGGGACTGGTGATCCAGCGCAGCAAGTAAAGCTACCATCTAGTGTTGGCATCTGTAAGGATGCCGGTTTGAGTCTTGGCTGCTCCACATCTGATCCAGTTCCCTGTTACTGTGCCCAGGAAAGCAGCAGAGGATGGTTGAAGTGCTTGTACTCCCTGTACAAGACCCGGAAGATCATTCTTGTTCCTAACTTCAGACCGGCTTAGCTCTGGCCACTGTAGCCATTTGGAATGGGAGACACCTCTCTTTCTCTGTCTTTCCCTCTCTCTGCAACTCTACCTTTCAAATAAAGTTTTTAGAAAAAAGACAACAGCTGGCAGGGAAGGGGGGAATCTCAATCTCTCTGAAATTGTATTATAAAGTTCAAAAATTCAAAATAAAAATTAAAAAAAAGAAAAAAGCAATAGCCAGTCTCTTCCTCCTAGAGTTGTAAAATCACAGTTTTCCCTTTCCCTGAGCTGCCAAATACTCAGAAATCACAACAGATCCTAGAGATTACTTTTTAGTTACGTTGGATCCATGTATGGGCACCAAGAAATTGATTTAAATATAATTTTTCCAAATAAGCTCAAGTCTCAGCTTCCGTATCTGTCTAAGACAAAGTCCTGAAAAGGACTTGCTTCCTACTGGTGGAGTTGAGACAGGCAGCAGGGTTGGGAGCCAGGGTGGTGGGGCACTGGCCAGCCCTCACAATTCCACCCAGGGGGCAGGCTGGCCCCTCACCTGGCCCTTAGGAGCTACTCTGGCCACACGCTGGTTAAACATTATCCCCTAAGAATGTCCCATGCTCAGCATATGAACGGCATGTAAACACACTCAAGTGGGGACACCCTGCTTTGGAAGCCCTGGGGCAGGCCCAAGGCCAGACAGCCTCACCTCAGCCTGGTATACAGGAAAGTAAAGCCTTATTTAGCTGAAGAATGCTACGTGGTGCCATGTGGCCTGGGGTGTGCTCTGTCCTGGCAAAAAGCCTCTCACCCAACCATCCAGATGTCCCCACTGGGGAGCAGGTGCAGACCACGGAGGGATACTATAGGGGTCAGTTGGCGAGAAGCTGCTGCTGCTGGTACCTGGCAGCTCACCCAGCCCTGCCAATCCTTCACCGTGTTCTGTCTCAAGAACAGCAGTGGGGCCCGGCGCGGTGGCGCAAGTGGTTAAAGGTCCTCGCCTTGCATGCCCGGGATCCCATATGGGCGCCGGTTCTAATCCCGGCAGCCCCGCTTCCCTTCCAGCTCCCTGCCTGTGGCCCGGGAAAGCAGCAGAGGACGGCCCAAAGCTTTGGGACCCTGCACCCGCGTGGGAGACCCGAAAGAGGCTCCTGGCTTCGGGTCGGCATAGTATCGGCCCGTTGCGCTCACTTTGGGAGTGAATCATCGGACGGAAGATCTTCCTCTCTGTCTCTCCTCTCTGTATATCCGCCTTTCCAATGAAAAAATAATAAAAATAAATCTAAAAAAAAAAAAAAAAAAGAACAGCAGTGAAGCTGTGGGTGAGGCCCAGGGCCGAGCAGCCAGAAGCCCTGCATTCCTTGTTTACTTTTTCCATGTGGGAAACCTAGGGAAAGATCCTGGGTGCTGGCTTCAGCCTGGCCCAGCTATGGCTGTTGCAGCCATTTGAGAAGAGGAAAGAAAATTCTCTTTCTCTCTGTCACTCTGCCTTTCAAATAAATAAATAAAACCAAACTTTCATTTATTGAAACTTCACAGAGGTCAAACAGGAAAACAACCCTCACAGTACAGAGACTTGGTGTTTCTCATCAACTTCCTTTGTAAGTTTTTCTTAAAGAGAGGTGCTTAAGAAAATGTACTAACAAAACTTCTGCGGCCTGGGGCATCCTGAGTTCTCCAGGGAGCATCCTGAGCAGGTGACGCCAAAGCATGCAAAATAAAGCAGCCTCAGAGGTGAGGAGGTAGGGTTCGCTGCCACAGGCAGCAGTGTAGTGCTGCCCACCAAGGCCCTGGTGCTGCCCACCAAGGCCCTGGGCCCTGGCAGGAAGCCCCCAAGGGCTGAAGTCCTTTCGAACACAGACTGCGGGAAAGACAGGTGTCTTTCAAGACCTGCTTGCAGCTTGCTGCTGCTACAGGTTTGCAGATTTCTGAGGGCAAATCTGATATCAATAAATGAAAAGCAGCAATCCCAAGCTTCCAGACCCAAAGAAGCTTGGGGCAGCTTGTAAGGTGGGAGTACACACAACCCCCTGATGGAAGGCCCTGGGCCAGTCTGCACATGCTTGAACTGGGAAGCCTGACTCAAGGCACCTGCTATGCATACATGCATACACACACACTGCAGGTCCCAAGCACCTCCACCTCGCCTTGCAGGCACCCACTGCACCCAGTCACCTACTCTCCCCGCTCCCCACCTCCCCCCGCCCCCCAGAGCTGGCGTGTCCCACACATCCATCCTCCTACCACAGGACCTTAGTACAGGCTCTGCCTGTTGGGATGCTTCTTCTCTCGCCCCCTTCAGGCTGGGGCTTCAGCGCCGAGACGATCTTCCCATTTTTCAATTGCAACCCCCACATTAGCCAGCACTCCTACCTGCCTAGTTCCCTGTTTGTTTTCTCAAGAGTCCTTCTGCCATCTGATATACTATACTGGGAGGGGTTAGGGTCTACTTCAATCACTTCTGAATCCCCAATGCCCACACCAAGTCAACACTCAGAACATAATCAACGATGATGATGATGATCATATCTGACACTTAAAACTGCGCTTACTGTGAGCGAGGCACATTCCCAAGGGCTGCGATTATTCATCAATTAGTAGGTGCTCCATGAATACTCACAGGTGTGGTTAGAATGGGAGTACAAACAATGGCCTGGCTC